AAAGAATTATTTGAGTGGAGAGTTGAGCCTAAATTCAAATTCTCAAAAGTTTAGAGAGGCTGTAATTAGTTGGCACTATTACACCAGCACTTACCTTGGAAGAATAAGCCATTCCTTATTTCCTGCTGGTTTGCTTTTCCAAGGTGTATGGGCCCTTCAAATTGTTGGAATGAGGCCGCTTGGCTTGATGTAATGGTTGCTGCTACCTCTTGTGGCTCAAGAGCGTTCTGTTTGCTGGGTTTTATCATCAAAGGAACAAGTAGCAAGGGGGAGTCCGTCCTTCCTCCTTTCCAAATAGTACCCAGCAAACAAGGAGACTTTAAAACTGCCACCTGAAGATTATTCATTGGTAACTGTATTAAATCATGGAAATAACCAATTTACAAGATTCTCAGCCCTTTCCTTCTTCAGAGCTGGCAGACATTTCCAAGACCAGGACACTGAGGGTGCATTTTGTGTACACACTGGCACCCCTGGGGGGGCAGTGACTGGAGTAGTTTCTCAGTTTCTGCTCTCATGTGTAGGCAGGGCAGAGACACGACAGTGCCCCGTTCACGTCCGTTCTCCCTCATTACACAAACATGCCCCGTAAATTACAGGCCTTGGCACCGATAGAGGAGGTTGTGTTTATCTGTGATCCATGGGAGTGCCCCTTAATGTCATCAGTGTTTTCCCCCCTTTCCTTACCATATAAGGGCAGAAGTTTAACTTGGCTCTAGTCACTTGGTCTGACACAGCAAGCCGGGTGAAACTTCTGTGTAACTTCAGTTTGCCTGTAATAAAAAGTCCTGACCTTTGGTCATCCCTTGCTCCACTCTGGTTCAGGCAGGACTTTGAAAATATATTCCAGATTTTTAGGATGTAATAATGGTCTCCTACAGTTACTTCTTTATTGCTATTTTTAACTTTTTTTGTTGTGTTGGCTAAAACATCTGGATGCCTTGAAAATCTAGGTCTTGTAAAAGGTTTCTTTCAAATCTGATTTTGGAGTAACATTTTGCTATATTGGGTCAGGCATCCCTTTGATTGCGATGTAGTACCTTGTTGGGGTGGCAGGGGGGTGTGCCTGCCCTTATTTTCTGTCTAGGCAGCTAATGTCTTGGGGGGCGGGGCTGGAGGGGTGGCACAGAGGAGACTGGACTGACCATGCAACTAACTCTAAGGTACCTCGCAAGTGCAGGATTCCTGGCAGTTGTGTGACGACAAAACTACAGCGGGACAGTTGGGAGCCTTTGCTAATGTAGCAGTCTCGCTTTCGAGTAGCTCATTACATGCTGGGATACAATAGCACTTTTGAAATAAAAGAAAGTAGCATCCCAAACTGAAAGACTCGCCAGCAGCATCAACACAAGGGCTGCTGTTAGAAGCAGCTAACCCAGCACACGAAGGGTAATTTCCATGCCTGGAAATAATTTGCATCTGGGGTCTTGACCCTTCCCCAAGGCCTTGTTATTTATATCTGCCTTTTAAATAACAGATGGTCAAGTGGCTGCTGGCTTGTACTGGCAGAGGCAACAGCAGGTGAAGTCTTAAGCAGACTGCCCAGGTGCTGTGATGAAAGGAACCTTAGACAGTGTCTAACTCAGAACTTAGAAAACACATAGTGGCAATAAAAGCTAGGGAAGGTAAGTTATGTGGACCTTTTGAACACAGAACATAATTCTATCCCTCGTCAAAAAAAAAAAAAAGGAAAAATAAGAGAAAGAAAGATGAATTCTAGGGAACCAAACAAAATTGCGATCAGACCAGGTGGTAGGGCCTGAGAAGCCAGCGAGAGCCCAGGTTTTCCCCAGGGGACCCTTACCGAGTTAGATGTACCCCGGACAGAGGTGACCTGCAGGCTCCTTTGTCCTGCTCTGAAACCTCTGAGTAGCGGGCACTGGCTTCTGGGTTTGAGAGCAAGAGCCCTGTCCCTGTGTGAGTTACTAGGAGTGTTACTTGACGGTTTTCAATTTTATACCACAACTTACTTCAAAAAGGATTGAGAGGTCTTGTTTAGTGGACACTATTTAATACAGTAACCAAGACTTGTTCTCCTAGTCCTGGTTAGTCTCTGTCACTGAAGGCCATGTGTGGGTGGGGACGGCTGTAGAGATACCCCCACACACACATGACTTAGAGCAAAGCCTTCGAGGGAGAGAACGACCAGTTCCAGGTCTTCTGTGAGGTTCCACAAGGCCACGAGGGAAGAGGCAGAGCCAGCACTGAAGGAGCTAGACCACTTGGATTTTAGTCTGGTCTCCCACTGACAGCTGTTGACCTGGGTATATACTTCAGCATGCTGGGTCAAAGATCCTACCCTCCTTCTATTTTCTTTTGAAGGAAGAGCTAGAAGAGTGGTTCTCGTTCCCACAGGATTTGCCAGCTCTTAGGTGGTAGGCAGGGACGGTGCAGGAATGGAACAGGTTGCTTATTTTATAGTAAAGATTCTTGCCCTCCCCTCTGGCCTGAATCAGAGTCTCTAGGGATGGGGGCTGGAAGTTTGTATTTTTAATACGTATCTCCTAGTGGGTTCTGACACTCGGCCAGTTGTGGGAACTGCTGGAAGATGCCTGGCTAGCTGTTTAGCTAGTCCTTCCAGCTAATCAGTTGAAGCCTCTGTTTTGCGGACCTCCTGGAGGTCTCTGTGCGCCAGTGCCGGCCGCTGCAGCAGATCTCCATTCCCAGTCATTGCGTCTGTGCCCTTTATGAGGCTGCATCAGCTGGCATTCCGTAGGTTACAACCTGTAATGTCAGGAAGTACACGATTCTACAACATGCTCCTGGGAGAAAAGAGTCAGTGACATTTATAAAAACAGTGTCCAGAGCTAAAGGAATGAATTCGGGGTGGGGGGTAGAATAAAAAGGACGATACAGATTGATGGGGGGCATCTCGGGTTGGGGGATCTTGTGTGTGGAGGCGGAAACAAACCTGGGGGCCTGTCCCCTTACACTCGGTGCCCCAGCTGTGTGGGAAGCTGACCTAGCCTGGCCTGTCACCCAGAAGTTTCTGTTCCCAGATCACAAGCATTCTCCTTTCCATGAGCACAAAGTCCTGGAGGCTGGGACCCAGACTGAAAGCAGAGCAGGGACATAACAACGTGGTGGCTACAAAAAAAAATAGTTTTAAAAATCGTGTTGATATTTCTCTGGCTGCACCACCTGTAACAGGATACTTGCCTTTATATTACTAATAATAAGGACAGAAAGGGGGGGATACTTTTGTGTATATGATCTATACACTCTACTGAGGGTTGGCTGGTTGGTTTCTGCTCTTCATTTTTGTTTTTAACTTTCCGAGTTGCTTATGTGTTTCTCCCCCCATTTGTAAAAGAATAGACTTATACTGGACGTGGGAAGAACAGAAAAGTGAAGAAAGCCAACCTGGCCCAAAAGTATACTTAATGTATATTCCTTCCAGTTTTTTAAAATAGGGCTAAAGACTTTAAAAAGACAGTTCCCTATAATGAAGAAATACATTGTTCCTATTATAGTCACCCCTCCTCCAAAAAAAACCACCTGCCACCTGCCGGTGAGACTCAGTGGGGCCCATGACTCACGGTGCATCAATGATCGGGGGCCAGTACAGCTGTAAACCGTGCTCCTCAGATCCAGTTCCCCCCACTCCCTGCCTCCGTCAAACGGTTTTTACTACGTAGTTTACTTTCGACAAGCTAAAGGTGTATTTGAATGTTTTTTATAAAGCATCCTTCACCCAATGCCCTAATCACTCCCCTTTCCCAGATAAAACTTGGCACAGATGAGCAAAGAGCTGAAGGTACTTGTAATTCCTCTGACTCAAGGTCATCCTCACAGCCTCCCTCTAAACTGTATGTGCACTTCAGACTGGATGTATCATGCATGGTCCACGAGCTAAGAAAGTTGCTTTTATTTAAATTAGCCTGGTTTTACTCATTTTATTCAGTAGACACTTTCTGAGCTCATACTCTGTGCAAAGAACCAAGATTCCCTGCACGGAAGAAGCTTGCGGTTGAGTGAAGAAGAAAGGAATGTAGGTAGAGAACTAGCATAGGTCCTTAAGTGTGTGCGGTAATTTTTAGAAAGCTTTCCATGTGTCCTGACAACCACATGGCCCCAGATAACTAGATGTTCAGAGTAGATGAGGGTGAAGAAACAGACCCTGATTGATAAATTTCTTATCTCACTTTAAGGCATAATATTTAACCAGCTACCAGGGCAAGCAAGTGTATCTCACAGACTCTGTCTCCCCAGTGTTTTGAGACCCATAGTAACAATGCTTACAACAGCAGGTAACCATCACATCCCCAGAAAAGAAACATCTTATTTCAGAGATGGATACAAATAAAAACAGTATCTGTACTGCTTTTCTCCTAAGGAGTCTGAAACTTTTCTTGTAGTAGCCTTGACTTAGACATTCCAGTAGGCTTTATTGGAAACAATTGGGAAATTTGTATCACCGTGTTACAGAGATCCCGGAAAGCGGGCAGGGCGAGGGATACTGGATTTAGTTGTGTCTGTATGGTATGTATGTTAGAATCCCTGAGTTTTGAAATATTTTAGTTCCTTTATGAGGCCCCTTGAGAAAAATGGTCTGGAGAGAGAAGAATTGAGACTCCAGAATCTGAGTTCTGGCTGGACCGCCCTTGCCTTCCGAGGCTGAGCCTGGAGGAGCCGTGCTGTCCCTGTCCGCACCTCAGGCCCCCGGTGAGTCGGGTGGCTGTAGTGAGGTAAAGCCAGTGTTCTGGAACCTGTGGGAGAAAAGAACTAAGTGAGAGAGCATTTGGTAATGGTTCATCTTTCCAATGAGGATGGTATTTACAGATTTGTGTACACACAAATGTGGACATTCTCTGTATAAATAAATGTGTGAACGGACTGGAGAACTCCAAAGTTCACCAGGGTTTCTGATGCCCTTAAGGGTAGCTCACCACAAGGCCCAGGCTTCCTATCTGAAGTCAGTGTTTGCGTCTCAGCCACTTCCCTAAAGTGCTACGCTCACTTCCCCCAACTCTAAAATGCCTTTCACGCTCTCTGCCTAGGCTGAAGCTGATGTAGCTTCTCTGAACAGACGCATCCAGCTGGTTGAGGAAGAGTTGGATCGAGCCCAGGAGCGTCTGGCAACAGCTTTGCAGAAGCTGGAGGAGGCTGAGAAGGCAGCAGATGAGAGCGAGAGGTAAGGGCGCTTCACTGGGCCCACTTCTTAGCGTGAGCCTTTGCTCTTGGGGGGGCAGGAGGGCTTCACCGATCTTGGGGTTTGAGAATTTTGCAGTTCCTTAGTGGAATGCCTTAGTGGGATCATTTCCTTATTTGATCCTAGGTGTAACTATTGGTTTTGTTCATGTAACATTAGTGGTTAATTTATTGGTTTTGTTAGTTTAACATGGATGCTTTTAGACAAAGCACGTAAGGGCTTTAAACCCAAAGGTTACAAAGAAGAAAAAGATCCTGTTCCTGTCCTCATGGAGCTCACCATCCAACGAGGAGACAGACAAGAAATTCTAGGGATGCATAACGGTTTCTCCGTCCCTGCTGACCCTGGAGCAATTATGTATTTTTAAAAAGATAACTGTTTTAAAGCAAACCACAGAGGCCTCGACTTAGATAAAAATGGGCTGTCATTGTCAAATAGCCCCCAAAACACAGATAAAACAGCAATGTGATCTGCGAAAGTAAATGGTTTTGGACTTTGTCATGCTAATAAGACACACATACCCGTAAATGCAGCCAGACACTTGCATCTGCTGAGCCCGCTCCCACTGTAGCCTGGCTCTCCCGGACTTCCTGGGCGGAGGTGGAGCTCTGTGGTGGTGAAGGCAAACCGTGGCCGTGTAGACCAGCACGGCTTTGCGTACTCCGGAAGGCACTTTCTCTTACGCCCAGCTGTGGATGGGAATGTATTCACACCGCACAGAGACACTCCTAGGAAGACTCCGTGGTGCTAGGGGGGGCTCAGCTGCATCGGGGTGGCAGAGCCGTGTGTGCGGTGGGCAGGTGGATGCCATCAGTGATTTTGTCCATTTCTCCATCTTCGAGTGACTTTCTGCTTCCTGCTACCAGGGATAAAGAATGATTTCAGACTCGAGGATTAAAGAAGCTTTCTAGCTGATGTTGTCAGCTCATAATTCATTATTGTTTCTTCTCTAACCAAGAGTTTTGGAATTACTTGAAGATGACTCATCATCTCTAACAGTGTACACATACCAGTGGTTTTGTGGCTGACTTCTTCCTGAAGTACACTTGGTAATGAACCCAAAAGGCGATCCGAATCTGGCAGTGTTAGACTTTGGAGTAAAAAGGAATTGCAAGATCATTTACTCTAGTCCCCTGATTTTACAGTGGGAGTACTGGGGCCCAGAGACTGGTGTGGCCTGCCCAGGGTCTCCCAGCCAGCTATGGCTGGGCCCAGGCTAGCACTCAAGTCTCTAAAACACTGCAGTGCTTCATAAAAAAATAGTGGCTTATTTATGTTACTGCCTACTTAGATTTTGGTCACGAATCCCATTTTAACATAAATTGTTACACCATCGGTCTGTAATATATTATAAATCAATTAACATTGCCCAAAACTTAATACCATGCAATAGGATCCAAACATACATATCAACACAGAAGATGGTATCAGCCCTCTCAACCCCTCTGTTGTTAAAGAGTTCCATTAAAGGCAAAACTCACGGTTTCTTATCTAAAGTGTTAGGTCGACCCATAGGAAACTGCTGTGTTTATGGGTCTGGCATGGTAAATATCAGCAGTTTCGTATGGTTCAATCTGGTATTTACGTTTGTGGCCGATGAGGTAAGAACAACCACCTTCTTTGTGGTAGGAGGGACACAAAGATAAATATGCTTTTGTTCTAACTTTGGTCCGTTTTCAAGCCGAAGCTGCCCACCAGGAAAAGAAATCCCACTGTTTATGTAGCAGGCAAAGCGAGTTGGCTCTCCTGTTTCCCTGCCGCCTGCTTTCAACCGGGATTCTGACACGGCGTCTTTTACTGCACATTAGATTCCTGGACAGTCTCACTGGTGCCGGGAGTGTGAGGTTTCATTTGCAAGAAACAGAAGTGTCTATCTTTGTGCCTTCAGCATTGGAAAGTCTTGCTTCATGGCTTGGAAAATAAAAGTAGCTCTGTGCTCTGTTTTGATCTGCCAGTTACACTAAGCCTCACAAACCCCTTCAGTGCCTTGCGTGGGTTTGCGGAGGTCCGCTCTGCATCTCGGGTCTTGTTGCTTGTCTTCCTTTTCAGAGGCATGAAAGTCATTGAAAGTCGAGCCCAAAAGGATGAGGAGAAAATGGAAATCCAGGAGATCCAACTGAAAGAGGCCAAGCACATTGCTGAAGATGCTGACCGCAAGTATGAAGAGGTCAGATCCTGGGGCCCAAAGCCTCACGGACCCCCAGCAGTGGCCGGGACGTGTGGGTGGGTGGAGCAGGGTATACTGCCTTGCATTCTTAAGTGAAACAGTCATCTTCTTCAGCAGAAATGGGTGGTTTGGAGAAGCAGAGTTCCTTTGTCTGCGGAACATGGTTCTTTTTGGTCTGGCTAAGGGATCACAAGCCTCATCCTGAAGCCAATCAGTAAACACTGGGGAAGACCAAAGCTGCTTCTCCTGCCACTCCCCAACCCCCAAAAGACTAGGACAAAGGGTCTTGGCTCAGGGAAGGAAGAGTTGGGCCCCTCTGTCCATGGAAGGAGCCTGTCATGCACCGTGCAAGCAGTTCTCGGAGTAATTCATCTACCGTGGACCATGCACTTGGTGTGGGTGATTGATTCACGGAGGACATTTTCAGTTTGTTCTCCTCTCGCTCCAAGGTGGTAGAATTCCATGATCAACATAGGTTTGAGGTTAAATCACGGAAACAACTTCCTGTGACAGCAGAGCAACATAGCTGTGAAGGTTTAAGTCTTGCCCTGATTGTGCCGTGGCCGTTTTGAAAACAGCCTGACTCTCCTTTTTAGTATGGTTATCCTTATTATTTCTAGATCACATTATGCCCACCTATTTTGAAAGGGATCAGAGGATCCCTTCTCTCGTTAGTTCTTTCACCAAACACAGAGCCGACGGCCTTAGTCATCTCACCAGCTTTTCTCCTGTTGGTTTCTCTTGCTACGCTGTTGGCATTTTTAATCTTCTCTACAAAAAGGAGATTGAAGTATGCAGTGTATTCTTGGCAGCCTCTACCTTTTGGCATAAAATGCATCATGTCTCATCATGCTGCTATTTTTGAGGTTGTGAATTTCATATTTCTCCCTTCTTCCACACTTGGGTTTGGCTGCTGTGTAATTACACAGACTTCCCATGGGTCACACTTAAATGAAACTGCCCATTCATAACTAGCCATTCCAGGTCTCTGGTCTCCTCTCCATTGGCACTCCTGATGGAGAATAGCTTCTCTCCAGTCCACGAGAAAGAGGATCATCTTTGTAGACGAGATCTTCTGGAGACTGATGGATGCAGTCCCTACCCTAACACCCCCTTACTCAAAGCTGGCAAGCCCACAGTGTTTGTGTGTATTGTGTTTGTCCTGCTGCAGGTGGCCCGTAAGCTGGTCATCATTGAGAGTGACCTGGAACGTGCAGAGGAGCGGGCCGAGCTCTCGGAAGGGTAAGCAGGCCCGGCGCCAGGACGCTGTGTGTGGGGTGCTGCAGAACAGTGACTAAACAGCATGACCTTCTGGCAGCTGCACATTGACCTGTTTCAGCTCCGGGCTCCTTATGTGCTCATTTGACATGGATGAGCCACAAGTCTAGAACACGGAGGACATGTGTGGGGTGTCTGTGTGTGAATGTGTGTATCACTGCATGCCTTACCTGCACACTGATTTTGAGAATGGCCTTGTGCATTTCCTGTGTCCACTAACAGCCAAGTTCGACAGCTGGAAGAACAATTAAGAATAATGGATCAGACCTTGAAAGCATTAATGGCTGCAGAGGATAAGGTACTGATGGCTCATGTGTGGTTTTTAGGTTTAACTCCAGCCCAGACGTCTTTCAGCTTCCACTACCTACTGGTTCGTTTGGTGTAACAACTGCACCTTCACTGCGCCCTCTGCTGTCTTATATCTTGCTTTAAGTGCTTTCTTTGGGTTCTTCATACTCCTTTGTTTTTCCTTCGTAAATGCTCTTTGGTGCAGCCAAAAAAGGAGCCAAATTATCACATTTCCAAGTTGTTGGAGTTTGTCACCCTGCCTTTCTGCTTTAATAAGGTTGGAGGGCATTGTCCACAGCAAAATCGAGCGCTTCACTACCTGATGATTTGGCTACTTTGAGGCAGCCCTTTGTTCTCTAGGACTCGGTTTTCATGTGTTCCCACCCCTCTCCTTTTTCTCTCCTCCTTCCTTTGGCTTGTCTCCCACCCTTTCTGCCTCTGATCGAAAACATTAGCAAATGTGCCGAGCTTGAAGAAGAGTTGAAAACTGTGACGAACAACTTGAAGTCACTGGAGGCTCAGGCTGAGAAGGTAGGCCAGGAGCATGGTGTGGGGGAAAGGCGTCTTTCCAGAGCTGCTCAAAAGTCACCCTGTTTCCTCTCCTGAGGCCCTCCTGCTAAAAGCCATAAGTCTATTGGGCGTTTTAGTAAACGGCATCGTGTTGCGGTGATTTCGTGATGGTTATTGAATAACAGGTTCTTTTTTTTTTTTAATAGAGAATATGTTTTATGTTGAGTATATGAGTCATCTGTAACAATTTAATTTGGACCAAGTGCCAAGTGGATGTTATCTTGTTCTCATCCCGTGTAAAACAATAGGCAGGAAAACAGAGACTGCATTGTCGTATGCCATTTGATCCCGGAGGCTCCATTACCTCCCGAGAGATCCCCAACATCTGTTTGCTGGGCTGGCACTTTCTTTGGATTAGAAGACATGAGTGTAAAGTGAGCTGCGCTCTGACATCTGGAACGTTCTTTCTAATTACAGTACTCTCAGAAGGAAGACAAATATGAGGAAGAGATCAAGGTCCTTTCTGACAAGCTGAAGGAGGTAATGTTATAAATGCTTTGGGCAGAGCCACCTGAATTGTAAATGCATTTTTTTTTATGGAGCAGCCCAGGGCTTTTGCATTTCCAAGTTGTCATGATCCACCTCAGGAATATTCAGAGGTCGTCCCAGCGTTCCCGGCTGTGCAAGCCACCGCCCCTCCCTATAGTGACTGACTGACAAGTAGTTTCAAACCCATTTTGATTTCCATTTTCTCATTTTCCCTGTGGAAATCTAAGACATCCCAATGTTGACCAAAACAAATTGAATCATTGCAGGCTGAGACTCGGGCTGAGTTTGCAGAGAGGTCAGTAACAAAATTGGAGAAGAGCATTGATGACTTAGAAGGTAAGGTTTTGAGTTGTGTTTTTCATTTGATCCTTATGTTTGAGTATTGGCAAAACAGTGTTCTAATCTAAGTGCGCTCACCCTGATACACTCCTTTGCTCTTGCACATTCCTCCTGTCTGTCCTTGGGGTTTCATTCTGTGGCTCTTCAACTCTTGGACCTGAGTCCTTTGCTCACCAGCTCACTCTCAGCCACCAGACGGGCACGTCTTTTTTTTTTTTTTAGTGGCAGATGCCATCCAGTGTTGCCTCACACTCTCAGGTGTGTGGCAAGGTTATTTTTCATTGTGGGTAAGGTGGTTGTACGTGAGAATGACTCCAGTATATTTTCTCTCATTGGTGATACCTCTTATCAGAATGGTGTGGATTTCTCCTTAGACACAACCCATCTTCTTCCAAGTGTGAAATCAGTATGAGGGGTTGGGGGTTTGTCATTAGTTATCTTGGTAAGTGCTCTGTGTACTTACTGAAGGAGGAGTGCAGGTCGGATAGTGCATTTCGAGATTCAAGCATTTGTCCCCTAAGATATGTAGGTTTTATTGTAACACCCACTGTGTCTCAAAGAAATCCTGAGTGTTGAGCTCAGAGTCTTTTGAAGATCAGCAATAAAAAAAAAAGAAAGAATGAACAAAATACATCAAATACACAGGTCCAAGGCCGAAGGAGCTGGAGCAGGGACTGGAGGTCAGTGCAGACGATAACTGGACTCATAGGGAGGAGAGAGAAACAAACGGCTGCTAAACGGTCTGTCCTGCCGCAGCCAGGTGTGAAGCCATCACCACAAACACTAGATTGCAGGCTTGGCACAATAGCACCCTAAGAAGTGTGGCTGTCCTCACTCGTCAGGCCTTCTGGGCCACCAACAGGGCGGCTGGAATGGGAAGACCAGGAGCAGCGTGCAGGGCACGGAGAAGTCCGTGTCCCAGTGGTCTGGTCTGGTCAGGAAGTCAGTGGTTTGAAGGTGGAGCCAGATAAGGATTACAGACTGTAGTCACGAACTGTTCTTCCAAAACACTGCCCTTGGATATTTTTTCCATTGTTTATAGTTGCAGTTGGCTGGCGACTCCAGTGTAATTAAAACACAGCTCTAGAAAAGAAAGACATTCTGTCATGCACCCAGGAGACATCCTCCTGTGGTTTTTGTTTAGGGCTTACCATAGTTACTGATATACCTACCATATTTGTTATGATTTTCATATTGCGTCTTCCTTGTTTTATTTTCTAACGGGTTTTGTTCTTTCTGTTTTTGTTTCAATTCATTTAAAAACAAAACGCACGCCTCCTGCATTGGCCACCTGCTGCGGCACCACTTCCTTCCTGCATTGCCCTTTTCTTGCTGCTGTGTCGGGGTGGCGCCCGTGCCACCCTCACTCACCCTCCATCTCTTGGTCACTCTCCATGTCCTTGCACCTCTGCCTTCCACTTCCTGGTCATAGACGAGCTGTATGCTCAGAAACTGAAGTACAAAGCCATCAGCGAGGAGCTGGACCACGCTCTCAACGATATGACTTCCATGTAAATGTGCATCCACCCTGCCTGCTCACACCCGTGCGCTCATGCTAATGTGATAAACTCAACACTGCTCCCTTCTGTGCCTCCAGAATCTCCATCCTTACAGCTCTCTGCTTACTCTCTCTGTGTAACCTAGGGTAGCCGTTGGGTTTTTTTCACATTCTACTAATAGAAAGGCCAAGTAGATTAAGTCTGTCTGTACAAATCATTTTCCCTTCAGAATCCATTCATTGCTCCATCTCTAAGCTAGACCATCCCCACCAAGCATCGAACTGGTATATGAATCTCTTGAGCACTATGTATTCAGGAAATTAAACTGGGTTCAATTCAAGTAAAATTAGAAGGCCATGCAGTTGTACAGGAACTTCCCAAAGAAGTACTAAAAATTAATTTCCTGAGATTTAATTAAATAAAATATCATCTTCCAAAAAGAAATATAAATTTAGGAGCCCTGAAGTGTCAGATTACCGAGGGCCAGAGGGAAAGGAAATTGACCCAGTGTAGCTGGAAAATATCATCTCTTCCTCACTGTTAAGAATTATAGAGAGACGTGAACCCTCTGCTGAGTAACCAAGCCTTTAATTTTCTGGTTCTATCAAAGGAAGTACAATACCCCCCAAAACACCACAATTTGTGTCAAAGGAATGGGACATAAACAATTACGAGTTCTGGGAGTGAGTGGCCCGGCTTTTACTGCCATGAGGTAGTAAGTGGAGTAAATGGCCTTGTTCTCATGAGAACCTTGAACATACACAGCTAATTTACACATTACTAACTCAACGCAAACGCTGAACTCGTTCTGCCTCTTTAAATTCTAACCTGGAATGTTTCACAGAGGGTTCTCCTACATCATAATATTCTGGCACTGAATTCCAGGTACTCTGGAAATTTAATTTTACCCGTGCAGAAAAATGGTAGCTTGAAGAGTGTGGCATGTGCCTGCTGCCGTACAGCTTATAGAATCTCCCCGTTACCCTTAGAGATGTGACAGTCACCATGGAAATGAGAGGATTTCATCCTCTCTTCCCTCATTCGTAAATTGGAGGGTGGGTCAGATCACCTGTCTCCAGGGTCTTTTCCATGAGACCATAAACCTGGTCTGATGGAAAATTTGAAGCATCGAGTATGAGTGATTATTCTGAAAGATGAGTTTGGCTCAGAATTTGAGTTTAAATTCTGGTCATGGGTTTTCTTAAAATGGACCCTTTCCCAGGGGCCGTGTGAGGCCTCAGGTCCAGCCCCGGGTGGGCAGGGGTCGACCTCGCACAGGTGCAGCCGCAGCAGGTTTGCATGTCCACGTCTCACCTGCGTTTCAGGTGCTGCTCTCACCTCTTAGTCTGGTTCTCCTTTTTTCCATTGTGCCACTTTTTTCTCTTTTTCTCCCACCTTTTCTCTTCATGCAGATAAGTCTCTCTGCTTCACTCCTCTCGAGACCCCTCCGTCAAGCTGGATGTCCCCCCTCTCTGAGCTCTGCCGTCTGTCTCTCCTCCAGCTGACCCTGGTTCTTCCCTTTAGCTCCCTGCCCTAGGGCCGGGCGCGCACAGCGCTTCCTGCTGTCCAGAGGCGCTTCATTTCAGTGTAAAATAAACACTGTGTAAGCTATTTCTGTTTGCTATTCTTTTTACTTCACATTTTAGTTTCAACACAGAATAAACACAAATATGCTTCACGCATGTGAGGGTTCATTTTTGGCTGCGCTTTTTTATTTTACTATTTTTTTTTGTTGCATTCTGAACATTGTACATTAATGTCAAGAGTTTCTAAGGCAGTAGTTCTTTGTGGAACTTCTAAAAGAAAACATTCATGCCTGGGCCCCTAGCAAGAGTTTTGGTTTCCAGAGGTTAGAGTGAGGCCCAGGACACACTTCTTATTGGGAGTCAGGAGATGCCGCTTGGGCAGTGTCTCCCTCTGCCAGAGGTTCAGGTGGGGACGTGGTGAGCCCTCTCTGTTGATAGTTAGGTGGCCCTGCCTCAGAGGGCGCAGCTCACTCATGGAAGGCTCGTGATGAAGTCTCCGCAGCCATCCCACATCTCCAGGAATTTCCATATTGGGGAAGGAGAAAAAGGACTGGATCAAAGTATGTAGGTTGAGGTCATTGTTGATCCTCCTTTTATAGCACAAATGATAGTTAAAGCTTCTTAAAAGTATTCTTAGCCACCTTCATTTGGGTCATGAAATGGCATCTCCAGTTTTCTAAGTCCGATTACGTTCCGGTCGGGACTTCTGTGCTCTGGAGCACATCACGTTCTTCAGGAGGGTTGTACACACACAGGCTCTGCAATAATAGCTGTTTTTAAATTTGTGGGCACCTTTGAAGTATAGTCATTAACATGGTTCTTCTTCCTATAAAAATAGTGGAAATTGTTCAGAATACAATTACATTTTATTTGGGTTTCACTGTTCCCTTCAAAAACAGTAATCAAGTAACTTAAAAAAAAAAACACTGTAGAACTTCATAATGATGTGGACTTTTGTTTCCTAATTCCCACCATTTCTCCATCCTCCACAGTCTGGCTGTATTTCTTCTGTGTTTTAAATATGGGTGATCTTTACCTGTTTGAGTGTAGTTTCGTTAGCCTATGAGGTTTGATATACCACTATTTATGATCGGTTTATACTCAGGTAAATTTGGGCAAACTGAAAATACCAGTTACTCCACAAAAACTTCAGTGCAGATAATACATATTTAAGAGGGCCATCAGGCACTTTAGTAATGGTACAGTAGGCTTTTTCAAATTTAGATTCTGGACAATGTCTCTCCCTGGAGAGTATCAAGACTTCTGTGATTTCATGTTTTCCTTTTCCTAAGGCTTTTGGTTGTGACTCCTGCCTTGTGCTTTTTTAAATTCAGAGTCACAGAAGTGGGCCCTTCTGAGTAACCCTGCTTCCTGCAGCAGACAAAAGGACAAGTCCGCAAGTTCTGCTGAGCATGTGCTCAGAGAATTCTGAAGGCACGTGTGTTGCCTTGAAACCCTCCCAGAGACCTTTGCACTTCCTATAAGTATGTTCTACAGGGGAAATCTATCTACTGATAGATTGGGAAGGCAAACCTGGAATAGCCCGGGAAGGTGTGGGTATACAAAAGGATAAATAGCAAGTTGATTTTACCGAGAATTTGTGAGAGCTTAGGCTTCTAGTTCATAATACCAGGCCATAGCTCAGCTGCTACAAAGAGCTTCAGTTGGACCAAACCAAAAGCACTGCTGAGTCTGGGCACTAGAGGCCCCAGACATCTGGGAGGTGGCACAAGAGGGGAAGGTACTCACCTGTAGAACCAGTTCTGATCCCTGCCCTCAGGCCACCCAGGCCTACCAGCTCCATGGCAGCTGAAGTGGAACAAGTCCCAAGGAGGATGTGGTAGAGACAGCTATCATTTAAGCTGAGTTCACATTGATCCAGGGTTTCTCCAAAGTTCTTCCATTCCAGCTTGGCTCAGTGTTGGCTCCGCCAACTGAGACAGCCCGCCTGCCCTTGGCCGTACTGCCCCATGTGAGAGTGTGAATGTGCTAGCAGGGTTTTGATTTTGAGACCCCCAGGCGTATGCCATGCACAAGACACTGGAAGGTAGGATATGAAGAGATGAATCAGAAATGCTCTTCACCATCAGGTGGGAAGATAGAGGAGTGACGTGAGTCTAATAAACAGTATGTATTTAGAGTCAGAGAAGAAATTTCTGACTGGGAGCCCCCTGGAGAAGGTGACGTTTGGCCAGGGTTTCAAATATTCAGAAAATTTGGATGAGCAAAGAAGACAAAACAGAATATGTCTCAAGCTAGAAAGCACAATGAGTAGAGCCTCTTCCCCATCTCCCGCCATTTATTAGAGAAAGTTAAAATTAGAATTGATCAATTTCCCAACAGACCTGGGGACTAGAGGCTAAACATTTTCATTTTCCCCAGCAATAGGATTATCAGCTTTTCAAGATCGTTAATTACAATTTCTAGATTCAGGGTGTCATCGTGATTCAAAACAATCTGGTGTCCTCCAGGTTTTTGTGGTAGGTTCCCGGCTTTTTCATTGTTTGGGTGTCCCCTGGACCATCAGATGCAGACTGATTCTTGTGTCTGGCTTCCTTGCCATTTGAGTAGATTGCATGCCAATGTGTAAAGTTGATGTCATGCTGGTCTGTCTCCATGTGGAGGTTTGAGGTTTTATTCATCTTATGTGCATGCATCTGGCTCCAAACATATATGCCATCTTCAGGAAGTAAAGGTTAATTTTCAGTCAGTGGAGATAAGTGCCTGTTCTCTTGCTGTTCTGAATAGGATAACACACACCTGTATCAAAACTGGATGAGGATTCAGGATCTCCACCCTGTATCTTGGTGATTGGGGCGCAGGGACGGGGAGCTTAGTTCTGCATTTCAAAAAGTATTAATGAAACGGGGTAGCCACCTGCTCTTGGGACCACCTGAAAGGAAAGTCAGCTCCAGAATGGGGATGAAAAGGGTTCTAGAAAGGGGCGAGCACAAATGGGCAGGTTGAGGCTTCACTGTCAGTCTCCACTGAGCGCGGGCCAGGAGTAGATGGCATGCTGGGCCCACCTCCAGCCCTGCCTGGGTTCCTCGGGCCGTTAACAGAAACTGCACTCGACCCAGTTCACACAGTGGTGGTCGCGAGGTGCAAGAGGAACACCCACTCTCTCTCCTCTTCGTACCCTGTTGCTCCCTTTTCTTCCCATCCCCTCCCACCAAGAGAGAAGTCTTGGCTCTTCCTAAGTCTGCCAAGCCTTTTCCGTCGACCTTCCTGGGCACAGGACAGATGACCGTGGGGTACGGGTAACCTGTTCAGCACGTAACCAGTGTCGGAGGTATCTCTGTGTTCTGTCTGCTAACTTCCTCTCTCCACGTCTAGCTAACTTCTCTTCTTCTGCCTCTTTCCTGCTAACCTGCTTGCTGACCTGTACAGATCAACTCTACCAGCAACTTGAGCAAAACCGCCGCCTAACTAACCAACTAAAGCTGGCCCTGAATGAGGATTAAACTTAAGTGGGAAAGAACTTGGGCTGAATTCTAGGAATGGAGCCCATGGTCAGGAAATCTAAGACTGTTACACCTTCAACTATAGGGTCGCTTTCTGCAGAAATGTACATGAAAGGATTCAGCTGAAAGGCTGGCCTTGTCTGCATTTTCCTCTTCTATCTGGAATAATTCAGTTCTCTCTAATCCCCAAATAACTTTTATGGTACAATATAATCATTATGTATATGAATAAATATTTATGACAATATAGCACTCCTCTTTGCAACAGTAGGCCTTGTTTGAACTGGTACATAACAAAGATCTCAAAAAAAAATGTTTTCTATTTCCTACAGAGAACTGAGTCCTACTTTACGTTAGAAAGCCAAAGCAGAGGGGGGTGTGTGTGTATAACTATAACTATATATATATGTTATATATAGGGTATAATATATAATATATATATATATATATATATTCGTATTACATATGCCTATTCCTACCTTCTTAATATCTGGTATAGTGTTCGAAATATGACTAAATGTACCTATGCTTGGGCAAAATCGCTTTTGAGAACAGGAACTCATGTCAGAAGTGCCCGACTGTCTGGAAGGTATGCTTTTACTCAGTCTGACAGTGTTGTAAGAACTGGTGAGAATGTCATGCTGATAACGAATAGACCACTGTTAAGAATAGTAAGAGAATGTCCTACTGAAGTGTGCATGAAACATGTTGATAATTTTTTAATAAGCAACAGAAATAAATTATTTGAAAAGTTGTCAGAAAACCTACTTATGGCATCTCTGTTTTCTGTGAGGTTGTGTTACCACACAACTCCCAGACCATTAACTCCTGTAACCCCGAAGTGTCTGCTGTCGTTAACTCCAGCGCTGCCAGCGCCTCTCCCCGTTCTCACGCGCATGACCAGGGAACCTTCACCCAACCCACCTGCCTCTTACCCTCCTAGTGGAGTGTCGGTGAGGGTTCGCCTGACTGCTCCGTGAGAACCCGCTGTGCCTGTGGCTCCTTCAGGCCAGAGGCCGCTCCCCTCTCTGTAGGTCCTTGTCTGGAAATGAGTGATGCCTGACAAGCATGCCTAGTCCTAATCATCTCATCCTGTGTTTGTGATTGATGTTGCCTGCCTGAATGTACAAACGGTCATCGTGTCCAAAGCGCAGCTATTCATGACTTGATTTTCTAATCCCACCACAGAGAAAGTGGCTCATGCCAAAGAAGAAAACCTTAGTATGCATCAGATGCTGGATCAGACTTTACTGGAGTTAAACAACATGTGAAAACCTCCTTAGCTGCGACCACATTCTTTCATGTTTCTGTTGGGTTTTTTTTGTTTTATTTTGTTTTTCAACACCGTGCTTACCATGAAACCCCTTAAATGCATTTTTATTTACTTTTACCACTGTCACAGAAACCTCCGCAAAACGCCAGCGACATTGGGGCGGGGGAAACACACACACACACACACACACACACAAAGGCAAGCCCATGTCGGAGCGACGATGATTTACATGTGCCATTTCCCCAGGTGGACGTTGCCACACTTTGTAGAGGGTTTAGCAACACAGTACGCTTAGTCAATCCAGGAATCCTCACCAAAGCAGAAAGATTTCCACTCAAGGTGCCAACAATATATTCAACAGGAAGATAAGATTACTGTTGGAAACAATCAGGTGTGGATTGGTGCTACTTTAAACAAAAGGTCCCGCTGTGGTCTTCCATTCAATATTGTACAATTTAGAAATCTGCCCACCACTAACTTACTTTCTCTTGAGTTTTTCTACGAGATGAGGCTATGGATTCTATGTGTCTGAATTCACTAAAGCCCAGGGTATGTAAGCCACACTGCTCGTTTACAACTTTTATTTCCTACCAGTTGGCACCCCCTTGAGCTCATTTCAACTCACAGGAAAGCATTCAACATGGATTTCCGCTCCTTTCCTGTCTCCATGTTAAGTGAACATTTAGTCACTACACTAAATTGATCAAGAAAAAGCATGTAAGAGTTACAGCTACAGTAGCCCCTTTTATCCACATCATAAGACCCCCAGTTTATGCCTGAAACCACAGATGATACTGAACCTTAGATACTATGTGTTTTCTCCTACACATACATGCTTTTTCACTCAAAGGGAGCACATTCCAGCTTCTCCTCGGCATATCTGAATTGCCAGCATCACGACTCTTGCACTTTGGGGCCATTAAAAAATAAGGGTTACTTGAACACAAGCACTGTGAGACTGAGGTGGTAGGTCTGATAACCAAGAGGGCTACTAAGTGTGCAGAGGCTGGACAGAGGGATGGTTCACGTCCTGGGCAGGACAGAACAGGACAACTCGAGATTTCATCACACTACTCAAAACGATGCACAATTTAAAGCTTAGGAATTGCTTATTTCTGAAATTTTTTATGTTTCCAACCGTGGTTGACTGCAGTTAACTGAAACCGAGGACCGTGAGACCGCGGATAAGGGGGGAACTGCTGTGTATATAAACATTGTATAATTGTATGGAATAAAATGCACATTGTAGGACATTTTCTAAAGTCGGTGGTTCTGTCGTTTGTATGTTTTTACTTTGTGAACTTTAGATCCTGTGATTAACCTACCCGCCCTCATGAATGGTTTCTTAAAACAGCGTCTCCCAAGTTCAGGGGAAAACTGCATCTGGTGGAACAGTCTCCCCGGAAGCTTCCGAGGCAGCATCCCCTTTGGTCTGTTCAAGTTGCCACCACACTGAAAAGACTTTCCAAAAGCCTTTGTCCCTATCATTGGCGTATATCTGCACAGGTGTAGAGCCTTTTGCAGTAATTTTATGGTTTTTCTGAGGCTTCAGCAGTAGCATACACATGTCAACACACTGTGAGTAAAGACCCCGAACCTGCGCTGTCCCCAGTAGTGTGAGTCTGCGTAGAGGCATTGCTTTCAGGGACTTTGTGACTCCTGCTTTCTAACAGTGAGTTCTAAATTCCGACCGATACATGTTCGTTTTCTCAGACTTGGAAACTGAAAATACCGTAGGTTCTTGAGGAATTTAAGCAAAGAGAAAAAGATTCCAAACAGTGTTAGCTGGCCAAATTTGTGCTTCAGTGGGGAGGGGGAGGAAGGACATCCTTATGAGAAGCAAATGTGGAGTAGAAATAAAGGAAAACTCCATTTGGATGCATGGGTAATATTTTCACTGAAAAGTATCAAATATCCCTGGAATTGCTCTTCCAGGCCCTTCAATCAAGTCGTTTTCTCTCCACAGAAAGAGTGTAGGGCAAATAAACGCTCTGAGTCTCAACCTTCCCACGTCTTCAGCACCCTGGTCTCACCCCTGCCCGTCGGGGCAGGGAAGCTTCGGACAAATGCTTCCCTGCCTGCTTAGTCCTGGGCTTTTCCTTAAACCCAATGCTCTTTCCGGAGCCAGACCTGGCTTCCGCTTTCCTGGCTGCCTAGCCCGCCAGATCCCTGAACCCGAGATTCTTCATCTGTAAAAGGGGGGCTTAGTACCTCACTCTTGGGTGATTGCTGTGGAATTCGAATGTATAATCTCTGTAATGTGGCACATGGCGCTGCACCCAGGGTGTGTGGTGAACTTGCCCTCCAGAGACCGCCACCGAGGGTGTTCAGTGTTCCACTTGGTGAAGCTGGGACGACACCAACTCGGGCCCAGAGGAGGATGGTTATGAATGCTGTGCTCAGGAACCATAGGCCAGAACCCGGGGTAGGCCCCTGACAGTGCTATCTCACGCCACGCCCATCCCCTTCCCTTTTCACTGGCGGGCTCAGGGAGGCAGAGTGAACCTGCTCTCAGTTCCATAGCTCGCAAGGAGCGGGGTCGGGTTCCCCATTCAGTCCTGTGTGGCAACAAAGCCCCGCTTGGATGCTTGCTCTGCTCGTTTCAGACATTTTTTCAGCAGAAGCAAAGCAACGGCTGCGTAGGTAGAAACAGATGAAACAGCAGCAGGCGTAGCTGGGAGAAGAGGAAACCGGAAAGATGTAGGTTAAACCAGCTCATGGCTGACAGCGATCACAAGTGGGTGGGTTAACGTCCTCCTTGAGTCCCAGGAATTAGGAGAAATCCATGAAACGTCATGCAGTAATTTCACAGAATTATTGCCTGGTCTTTCTGATACATAGAAGAGGGAGAGCGCCCGTCTCCACAGGACACACACCTCGGGTCTGACCCTGTGTGATAAGCGAAACACACTGTTCTGCGAGGTTGGTGGGGGAGAGATTAGGGTTCTTTGGTGTGGCAGCTCTGAGACTGGAGGCCGATAAGATCTCCAGTTAAGAAACCGTGAAGTACAGAGAAGGAATTCAAGATTCATACTCTGAATTCCATTGCGGAAACTCGGCAGGCCCAGACTTCAGAATGAACAGCTGGAAAAGTTGCCTTGTTCATCATAAAGCATGGTGGGACTCTGCAGAGAAAGTCTAAGGAGAATATAAGTATTTTCCATTTGCATTTGTGACGAAGGTTTTACACTCTTATTAAGGTGAAAGACAAGTTCTCTGTGCACACATTCTGAACTTTACGAGGCTGACATTGAAGAGAACGGCTGCCCTACTTGCTGCTCCTAGAGATTCTGGTTGTGTGTGCTGGTGTGTATCCTCCAGAGTCTAAATAATTTGGGCCTGATTTTTTAATTTTTTTCCAGGGGGGAAGGGGGATGTCTTTTTTACTTAAACAAATATTTGAGTATACATTAACCATTTTTTCTACTTGTCAGCACAATTTGTAAATGTGTTTTTTTTCAATCTGCAGTCCAAAAAAGAAATACAAATTCTATACTAAAAAAAAAAAAAAAAGTCCTGGGGTGCTCAGGGAAGCATCATTTCTGGAATTGGAGATGGTTTAGAAAGAAATGTCCAGTGGTGCAAGAAGTACTCCTTGCACTTTCTGATGTTGAAGGTTTTCAGGACCTCGGATCTCCAGCAGAAGTCATAAATTCTCTGTGACAGTTAATGAAGCTGTGCTGGGCTCTCACTAATATGAATGCAACTTTGGCCAAATTTTTGACAAATGGGTATCGACCCATAGGGCGAAACTGGTTTCTGCTGCCTGTGAGTTTTATTTCTATCTGTTACCAAGGCCACAGAGAACAAAGAGCCGAGTCAAGGCCTTATCAGGGCCTGGCAGGGCTGATGCCCTAACCGAAATGCTGATTCAGAGCGGGAAGAAGTCTCAGACTCCTCAGGGCCTAGAGATGTCTAGTGGCTTGCTCAAGGTCATTCAGCTAGCTGGGTCAACTCCATGGACTTCAGCTCCTGTGGGGCAGGCAGCCAGGGCAAGGCTTGGGAAGCAGAGGGGCCAGCTTTGAATCCTGCTCCACCATCCACTTGTGTGTCCCACACATCTGGTAAATTAACTGTACCCTTTGAGTGGCAATTTCTTTGTCCTTAGAGGAGACAGATGTTTTGCTTCTTCACGTGCCTGTGCCCCCCTTCACGGGGCTGAGAATGAAACGAGGTGAGGTGTGCAGAGTGTGCCCTTTACTCTTCCTCTGTTCCCTCTCTGCTCAGCCCTGAGCCTTCCCCCCACTGCATTGGGTCCCTGGGACCCAAACTGAAAGTAACTTTTTTCCTTTTAAAATGAAAATCCCCAGAGGCCATTCATTGCATTGCAAGGGTACCCCACATATAAAAGACAGTCAAAATACATTTGTTCATAGGACAAATGACCCAGACACATGCTGAAGTGGTAGTGACAGAGTCATTAATCACCTGCACACAGGAGGTGAAGAATGCCTCAAAGTAATAGATTCAAATTTCATTTTTAAGCAAAGCACTGGCCCTTGAAAATTAGTTTCTGTTGCCCCATCTGTGACCTGCGTTCGGACGTGTTGCTTAGTGAAAGGAGACAGAACCCAGCACGCTGCTCACTGGCCTTGCGCAGATGCAAATGAGGGGGGGTCAGCCCTCCCTCATTCTTAAGGAACCACCTGGCTGGACTGCCTCTGAATCTGCTGTGTCCAGAGGAAAGCTAGTGACAGACGGCAAAAAGCCCTGTGGGTGAGAGACAGAGAGACTGAGGGATAGATGATTCTTCATTCTGTATCCTGAAGGGCCTGGCTGGACGGGGGGCCTGGAAGAGTCAGCTCCTCTGGGCGGCTGCCATGTGGGGATGGGGATGAGAGGGTGCAGAATCCTGATCTGTTTTCAACCCAGGAGACACTCAGGATTCAGAACTCTTTCCAGTGAAACTTGCCGCCTACACTCATAAATCGGATATTAAACTCCCAGGTACCTGCAGTGAAATAAGAGGGCCTGATATACTGGCCGCATCCCACCCCAGCCCCCATCCCACCCCAGGCCCGCTTCTGTGAAAGCCATGTTTCACAATAAAACAAATTGCCAAGTAACTGCCTGAATCATGCTGTGTCTAAGGAGTCTGGGGGAGGATGAAATTTTCCTCTGCCCCTGAAGTTTCTTTCAGCTCGTCTGCATGAGACAGATTAACAAGTGAAAATAACCAAATGTAATTGCAAATGTTCATTCATATGGGGAACCTCACATACGTGAGCGATTCAGGGATAGAAGGTTAAAACGAAGTACATATGACTGAGTAAGGATGCCATCAGCTGCTTCAGAGCTTCAGAGGGGAGAAAGGCGGTTTGCAGACAGCAAGAAAAGCAGATGTTCAGTAACTAGATGTTGGCCCTGCTCTGTAAACAGGTCAGAAAAAGTGATTTCTGGAAATCACTCTTATTATGGGCAAGGCCCAAGTTTAAATTCTTTAAGGGAGAGGTACAAGCTTTTCATGAGCCCACAGGGTCTCGATTACCTTCAGTTCAAAATAATTTACATGCCAAATTGGCACATCCTGGGGGGGCCTCTTCTGAATCCCTTCAGCACCATTACCTGACCCAAAATGGTTCGGCATTGTTGCTAAAAGACCAGTGACCAGCCTGTTAGAAATGTGAACCAGCACCCAGGCACTAGGACTTTTCATTTTTGTGTTTAAGGTGGCTTCGTAGGGATGGCTGGCATGTCTGTGTCTCTGAACCCAGCCAGGGCATGATTAATTATTGGGTCACTCAACTTTTTTAAGATTGCCATTCTGCAATTTGTCTTCCTGCTGTGTCTCAGAGAGTACTCCTTTCCAGAACACTCCAGGATCGTCCACGTTAGCATGGTCCCAAGCAATTAAAAAGAAACAAGGTGGAATAATTTGCCCGGGAATAGAAATGTACTAAGTATAAAGCAAATGTGCCTCCATGAAGTGTTTCTAGTCTCAAATCCCAGAAAAACTACTCGCATCTCTTCAAGCACTAGTCCTGTACTTGAAAGTTCCTGTCCGGAACGTCTACTGTTTCTGTCTTACCCTCTCTCCTTCCCTCCCCGCTATATTTTTTTATTACTCTAACCCAGTGGTTTTCAAACGTTTTCCTCTCATGGCACATGTAAACTAATTACTAAAATTCTGCAGCACAGAAAAAAAAGTATATTTTTACTGATTTACAAAAAATAATAGTAATTACCTGCCTTTTTTGCTCCAAAGTGACTTTTTAAAAACTCAGGTGCCTATACTTGTATATAAGGATTTCTGGTA